CACTCATATACATTAATAAAGAAATAATAAAAAAAGAAATGTAAAATAAAATAGTACTTGGTTTAGTATTTTTGTTTCCCTTCTGTTTTAGACAGGGTCTCATGTATCCTATGCTTACTTCAGATTTGCTATGTAGCTGAAGATGACTTTGAACTTCTGATCCTCCTGCTTCCACACCCCAAGGACTGGGATTAGAGGCATATGCTGCCAGACCCAGTCCTCCATGTATGCTAGACAGGCACTAAATCACATCCTAGCCGCTGTGCTGCTCTATTTTCTCATGAATAGTCACATTATGGTTCTGAGTCAGAGCCTCTCTCTGTAACATAGACTGGCCTCAGATTGGTAGTCCTCATGCCTATGCCTCCTGGTGCTGGTGTGGAAGACATGTGCTACCATTCTTACCTAGGTTATCCTTTCACTGTTTCTTGGATTTTTTTTTTTTTTAAGCCGAGGTCTCATGTAGCCTGGGCTGGTCTCAAATTCACTATGTAGACTGGCCTTGAATGTGTAATCCTCCTGCCTTCACCTTCAGGTTGCATATTTTTACTAGAATACCTTCAAAGTGATGTCTTCAGTGAATTATATCAGAATATTTATCATATCCATCTAGCACACTAGGTGTTCTAATTTTAAGCATTCCTTTCAGCAGATAGATTGTATGCACATGCCCTTTTTGGCTTACCAGTCAGGTTTTGTAAGCCCTACCCACCCTTTTCTATTTCGAGACTGACTGGGTCTCACTAAGTTACTTAGCTTGGCTTCAAACTCACTCAGGCAGGCCTTGAACCTGAGGTTCTCCTACTTCAGCTGAGATTCATGCCTGGCTTTGAAGTCAGCAGGAAAAAGCTCTTGCCATGTAAAGGTGGAAGGAGACAGCCAACTCCACAGAGTTGTCCTCTGACCTCTACATGTGCACTATGGCATGTTTGAACACACAGATTGTACACAGATCACATACAGTAATTGTATGTAAACAGAACTGTTAGTATTTCCCTATATGGTTTCCTCCTTGGTATTGTTGGAAGTAAGATAAATTCAGGAGTATAATGAAAATGAAGCGGTTTTTAATGTACAATTCAGCAGAAAGGGACAAAGTATAGAGAAAACGTAGACATGGCTGGCATGTGGAGTTGGCACAAAACAGTGGTTTTTCAAAGTTCCCAAACCAAGAACTTGCCGTCCTCTTGCCCCCACCCCCCTCCAGATTCTCTGTCTTACTTGGTTACTCCTCCTCTGGGGCTCCAGCCTGCCCCTCTCTGATGGGGACTCAGGCCAGCCAGCTGTCTGCAGCCTACTAGGAGCTGTGGGACAAGCAGGCATCAGCTGCCAGCTTGGGGCTAGAGGCACCTGCTCCTCGTAAACATTGAGCTCTGAAGGCACTTCACACTGGAAATGGGCCAAATAGCTTACTTCTTACAGTGTGATGCCTGGGAAAACCTTTGCCTTGATGATTACAGGAGTTGTTTGTGGTATGTACTGATTTTCTTATCTGTTTCTCACACAGGCACGACTGCAGGAGCGCATGGGGGAAAAGTACACAACTTATAGCGTGAAAGCTCGCCAGCTAAAATTTTTTGAAGAAAATGTGAATTTTTGAGATTTGTTCTAACATGCAGCCAGAACTAAAAAATCCATTTTCAAAGGTTATTCATCTTTTTTAAAAAAAAGAAAAGGAAAGAAAGAAAGAAAGAAAGAAAGAAAGAAAGAAAGAAAGAAAGAAAGAGGGAATGGGGATTTAGCTCAGTGATGGAGCGCTTGCCTAGCAAGCACAAGGCCCTGGGTTTGGTCCTCAGCTCTGGAAAAAAAAAGAAAAAAGAAAAAAAGAAAGAAAAACTGTTTCAGTTGCTCAGAGTCCATCCTTTGATATTTCTTTGGGATCTTCTTACTATAAAAAATTGACAAGGTAGACTAATGTGAAACAAGTTTGCAAAAGAAAGAAACCTTTGAATATCATGTTTATAAGGAAAAATGTTTTATGTTTGTTAGTTTACTGAGCCTTAAACCAACTTTATATCTAGTTTATTTTTTTAAAGATATTAACTGGTTGAAACAGGGCCAGAAACATTGGCTTATACTGTACTACAGTGATACAAACTGCAAGCGAAACAAATGTCTCATGGTAATGCTTGCTACTGTTAATAACCTTAGAAGTTGTTATTTATTCTGTAATATAAATTCACTATTCTGGGAATAGATTTAAAGGACATGAAGTTCTATGTTGCATTTGAACAACTTTATTTTTACACATAATGAATTTTGATTTACTCTTTAGACTCTTAGAACTCTTGTTCAGTCTAAAGTATAGCTTTATGAGTCATTATGACTTGGTATATTCTTTTCTGTCACTTAAAACATCTCTTAAGCGTGAATTCCTCTTTCAATTAAGCAGTATCCGAGGAAAGTCCAGATCCTTGGTTCTACTGGGTATTTGCAATGTTTGTGTAAAGTATCACCCGAGTCTCCCTATTTTAAGTACATTCCTGTAAGGCTGGGTGCAGTGGTGCATACGTGTAATCCCAGCACCTAGGTCCTAATTGCGTATCACATGTTGTGTTAGTTAGTTAATAAGTAATGTCCATCTAGTGGGATTTTTATTAATAAATCTTTAATAGGTTTTCACTTTTTAAGATGAATTCTATGGGAATTTGTTTAAGTGTATGTATGTACATCAGGTGTGTGCAGGTGCCTCAACAGGCCAGAAGAGGGTGTCCGATTCCCTGGACCTAGCTTTGCAGGTGGTTGTGAGCCACCTGATGTGGGTGCTGGAACTGAACCCAGGTCCTCTGAAAAAGAAAGGGCTGGGAACTGCTGAGCAACCTCTGTAGCCCTATCACCTTTGTATTGAAAGGACTGAAAATTACTTCAGATAGTTTGTTTTCTGAGATAGGGCCTCACTATGTAGCTCTTGCTGTCCTAGAACTCACTGTTGTTCAGGCTGGAGATGTGCCTGCCCCTGCCTCCTGAGTGCTGGCACTAAAGGTGCCACTACCTTGTCTGTCATGTTATCTTTTTCACTGCTTACCCTCCTTTCTGCCTAGTATGTCTTTGTTCTTGTTTTCATCTTTTGTATTTCAAGACCATAAAGTGACTTTTTTCCTACGTGCACTGTTTGTCTGCATGTATGTGTGAGTGTGTTGGATCCCTGCAACTGGAGTTACTGACAGTTGTGAAGTGCAGTATGGGTGTTAGGAATCGAACCTGGGTCCTCTCGAAGAGCAGCAGCAGGTGCTCTTGATTGCTGAGTCATCTTGATGTTTGGTTTTTTAAAATTTATTTTTATATAAATTACAGTTTATTCATTTTGTATCCCAGCTGTAGGCCCCTCCTTCATTCCCTCCCAATCCCACCCTCCCTCCTTCATCTCCCTGCCCCTCTAAAAGTCTGATACGGGAGGTCCTCCTCCCCTTCCATCTAACCCTAGCTTATCAGGTCTCATCAGGAGTGGCTGCATTGTCCTCCTCTGTGGCCTGGCCTGGCATGGCTGCTCCCTCCTCAGGGGGAGGTGCCTCTTGTTTTTTTTTACTTTACCTGGAAGTTTCTAACTTCTGAATCACACTTACTATATTTAACAATATGCTTCATCTACTGTGTTAGTTTTTCTTTAAAAGAATCTTTTCTGGAAAAAAAAAAAAAGATTCTTTTCTGATTTTGTTAAATTATAGTCTTTAAAGATGTTTTCTTAAACTCAAAATATGGGAAGTCCTGAGAAATATGTTACCTTTAATAATTCCTCACATGAGACCTTTTCAGTCACTTGGAAATAGTAAAAGGAATGTCAAGCTTTATAGTTTCGACTTTGGTTCCCTCAAGAACATGTCTTCCGCTTACATGCTCTTGTTTCGGGGGTGCCAAAGTGCTGATTTCCACAGACCCACACTGGCAAACTTCTCAGAGCTGTCTGCTATCATTGACAACTTACTGTCCTTCCTCCTCTCCTTCAATCCCAGACCCTTGTTTTCTTGTTTCCCCCCACTCCAGGCCCATTTCCTCCCTGAGTTGTCCAGGTTGGCCACAGTGGCCCTGGCTCCCTCACAACTGGATGGAGGTGCCATGGGTAAGGCTGGGCTCTCAGTCCTGCCGATCTGGTTGGAGTCTGATGGCTTTTTGGGGTCTCTGAGCCTGAGGCGACCTCCTCTCAAGTCAACTAGAATGAAATACAAATTAAAAACGCACCTTCTGGAGGCTTGTGAAATGAATGGCTTTGCAGGCAAAAGCTTTCACCACCAAGCCTAACAACCTGAGTTCAATCCCTGGACCCAAACAGAAGGACTCCCACATCTGTCCTCTGACCTCTACATGTGGGCCCATGGACAGTACATAACAAAGAAATAAATGTTAACATGATATTAAAAAAAACGGAAGAGCGACTCTGGGCTGTCAACATGGCTCAGCCAGTAAGAGTACCTGAAGACCCACGCTCCACCTCCAGGACCTACCTACCCTGCGTGAGGTGACGACCTCCGAAAGTTGTCCTCCAGCTGGACATGCACTAGAACTTGCAGTGATAGAACAAGAGGATGCTTGCATTTTCGAAACATAAACATCTAATTCTGGCTTTTTACTAAAAGTTTTGCAAAATAGCCAACAAGAGATCCATCAGATATAGAACTGCACCAAGAATTATAACTGAAACCATTTAGGCTAGGTGTGGTGGGGGCATGCCTTTAATTCTGGAGGCAAAGGCAGGTGGAACTTTGTGAGTTCAAAGGCAGCCTCGTATACATAGCAAGTTCCTAGACATCTGGTTATGTACTGGTTATGTACAAAGCCCTTGTCTACAAACAACAACAAAAACCTCACCATTGAAACAGTTCCATGACTCATAATGGATTGTGAAACTTTGCTATAAATAGGACTATGAAGCCAGGTGTTGGCAACATATGCCTGTAATCCCAGCACTTGGGGAGGCTGAAGCAGGAGGATTTGAGCGCAGAGGTAGCCTGGTCTATATAGTGATAACCTTTGCAAAAATATTTTAAAAAGAAAAACAAATGTACTACCAGATAGAAGGTGTTTATTCATTATGTATACCTGAAAGAAGCATTGCGAACTTGTATTTCCTGTTCTCCGTAACAAGATTATGAAGAGATGGTATAAAATAGTTATAAATTAAAGTACAATTGGATTAGAAATGAGAGGAGGACAACTAGATGTCTGCACAGCAGTGCTGTAACAACAGGTGGTTTAAGCTCATGTTTTGGTTGTGAAAGCAATTCAGCCCATCTTACAGGAAACAAAAGCAGGTGCTGAATCGTGCGGGCCCCAATCAATTGTTTTTAGCATGCCTCTTAAGTTTTCTGTCCCCTGATTTCTTGTCTTCTGTGCCTACGTCTTGAACAGGTAACCACTTCAGGGGATGTCGGCGATAGATAGGCCACGGAGGAAGTGTTAGCTAGATCAGAACAGAGAAAAGGCAGTATTTATTTCCATTCAAGGCTTAAAAGATCATTACGTATAATGTCTGGTCCCCAAATAAACACCATGCTAAAGATTAACAAACTGACCAGACAAGATATGTCAGGTGGTGAGAACAAGCCTTACCTGTTATACAGTTTAAACACACAGGAGTTTTAAGAACTAAATAATAGGAAGCAGAAACATTTATGGGAAAGAAAAGCTGCTTCTGATTCTCATTACTAGGTCCAACCAAGTTTGCCTGACTCAAAATTTATGTTGCTGCTAATACTCAAACACCCACAAATGTCTTACCAAACACGAGAAAGCAAATCCAGCCATAACTATGTAGACAGTCCACCCAAACTGTTCAGCCACGTACCCGTAGATAAACCCAACTATCTGAAAAGAAGCAAAGTATTTTAAATACAGTCAAACCAAGGGAGTCAGGATTAAGAGCTTCAAGGTAAAAGCAATACTTACTGCAGAAAAAAGAATAATTCCCTGAAACATCTGTTCAGCTAGCTTCTGCCCTTTGTAATCCTAGGGACAACAGAAAAGGGGAGAGTTGGTCCCACTACCAAAGGACTGCAATTCTTGCAGGGAACTCGGTTTTAGCAAGGCGTCATTCAACACCGGCAAAAGGGCCCGAGTAAAGAAGCAAAAATCGTATATTCCGGGGCAACCTGGGCATCTTAACGGAGCATGGGTTAAGGGGACAAGAAGAAGGGGAAAGTAACAGCAATCTTAGGGGTTGCTCCGGGGGAAGCAATCGGTGCTCCAGGGGAAGGCTTGGACGCCGCTAGGCTCCGAAGTGGGGTGTGGGGAGCTAGGACGCGCGCCCTCACCATCTGCGTGGGCAGCGAACTCAGATGTTCCAGCATGATTGACGGAGAAGACTGATCCGGACAGCAGAACGAGCGTAGCCGATTCCTAAGGCGAGAGGCTTGCGGGCTGCGACACCGAACGTAGCCTGGCCGACCCGCCGAGCCCCTCAGTCCGACGGCCGTGGCCCCGGAAGCGGATGTCTCGGGCAGGCACGAACACTCTCTGGCCCCGCCCCGCGCCGTCGCTGAGGGAGGCGCTCCTCCGGAGCTCCCTAGAACCCGGCTCGCTGCTCACGAGGGCTGGGGCCGCGACCTGGCCGGGGCATCGTGCACCGGTCAACGCTCCCGGCCGCCCGGAGCCGCTGTGGCGGCGGGGATCGCCTGCGGGCTGCCGTTCCTCGGCCTAACGGCCTCCGGCGCGCGCCGCGTCTCCATAGCGACGGCCTCCTCTCAGGGAGGACCCCGTGGCGGGGCTGCCCAGTGGCGCCTGCTGCGCGCGGCCCTCGGGCAGCGGGAGCCGCGCTCAGACTGGGGGCTGTGGCCCGGCGTGGCTTCCGCAGAGCCTGCCCGCCAGCGGGCCGGGGCTGGGGCGCGGCGGACGCGGGCGGCCCGGCGGCGGGCCCGGGCCGGGGGCCTGCGCCGCGAGCGCTGAGCTGGCGGGGCGGGCCGGGGCGCGAACGGCGGCCCCTCCTCCCGGCGCAGGTGAAGGCGGCTGCGCTGAGCTTCCGAGGGCGGCGATTCGTCGGACGCGGCTCCGACCTGGCGTGTCAGTGCGTGGGGGACCCCGGGAGCGCCGCGGCACCTCCCTAAGCGTAAGGAGGCCATTAATGACTGCTAGAGTTAGGGAAGATAACCGAGCCACATCCTCCAGGGAAAGGAGATTGCCTCGAGGCCTTGGCCGCCCCACGCCTCATGGATTGAGCTCCCATGCTCTTACCTAGGGGCACCCAAATTCGGCCCAACTTCTTCGTTGCCGGTTTTTATGGCTTCCACACTCCCTGACCAGGGCCTGCTGGTAAAGACCAGCGGAGGGGTTCTGTTAGCCCTGTCTTTCAAGGATGGTGTATGTTTCAGAAGCATGAGCCTTCCCTCATTAGTGAGCTAGATGGGGTGCCGTATCCCAACAGACTATGCTGGGGATCCGGCCCTCTGGGGCTATCCGTCTCCCTGGACTCTATTTGTGCATGGTACAGTCAGGCACAGACAGTGAGATGCTAGGCACTCCATACCTGGAGGTGAGTGGCTGCTGCTGGCATTTACACTTTTTGGACCGGGGCACAGCTGTGACTTAGAACTTGGAATGTGTCAAGGAAGATGGCCACATCGCTGTCGGGGACAGGCACCTAGGAGATGGAGCTCCGGGAGGTGCAACGTGGGGTTTGGGGGTTTCCTGACATGAAAGTCAATGTAGGACCTAGCCAGCAAAATGAGTGGAGAAAATGTTCAGGTCTTGTGCGTTTCCACCCTTCAGAAAAATACAGACCCGTTTGACACTTCTGACCTTAGAGAAACATTGTTGCGAAGGACAACAGCAATTTTTCATGGGCTGTTTTTTCTTTCTCCTTCCCTATGTTTTTCATAGTATGTATGAATATACTCACTTGGTTACAAGTATAAATAAACTTGCATCCCTTCCAATGTGCTTCGTAGGATGGCAGTTGCTGTAGAGACTATTCGGTGTTTGAATTATAAAATGATGGAAAAAACAGTTTGCCAGGTTCCTTTGGGGCAAGAGGTCCATTGGAATCTCATGCTTTTCCTTATGCTGGGATTTAGTGTCCAGGATTATTAAGATTGCATTCTCTTCTTGATTGGAGAATTGTACTGCAATTCAATCAATTGTACTTGATTGGAATGAATTAGCAAGACCATTCCACAGTATCACCTGCCCGTTGCTCTTTCGGTGGGGATGGTCTTAGGTGTCAGGGATACAGCAGGAGAGTTACATTTTCATTTAAGTCCCTGTTTCTGTAGAACTTAACAGTCACTGAATACAGGCTCATATACGCGATCATTTCGTAACTGAGAGGAAAGAGTGAGGTTGTTGGTGTAAAGAGAGGACAGAAAGATGATACTGGTTGGTGATCTTCACAAGAGCAGTTTGAGATTAGGAACAGAGCCTACGAGTAGAGGACAGCAAAGACAGAAAGGGCTATTTTAAATCTTTTCAGTCCTTTGGTGGAAGGGAGGCAGGCGTGGACCTGCGGTCAGCGCACTGGGAGTGGAGAGGGAAAAGCGCTGTCTTCTCCACCCTCCACTCCCTACCCTACTGCCTTTAGTTAATTGGAAGACATCGGCTAGCATGCTGATGGTGTGATCCACCGGAAGTGGGAAGAAGTTGATGCTTCCTGCAAGAGAACAGTGGTAGGATAGGCTACAGAGCACGAGTGGGCTAGCCTTCATGGATGTATACGTTCCATAATAACAGGAGGGAAAAACCGTAGTTGTTGAGAATGGATGGCAATATAGGTATCTGGCTTCCTTCTTTTTTTAAGGTAGAGATGGTAGGTAAAGGACCACCACAGGAGTGTGAGGGCCTCCGTTCATATCCCCAGCACCTCTGTAATTCAGGGTGGGTGGGACAGCCCACCTCTAGTCCCAGCCCTGAGGAGGTGGAGATGAGATCCGGAGAACAAGCTAAGTAGGCTGGCAAGTTGTGGATTCAGTTGAGACCTTGTAAGGTGAAAGAAACGTGATCAAAGAGAACAGCTGACATCGGCTTCTGACTTCTGCCTCATAACACACACTTGCACCCACACATGCAAGCACACATACATGATACATATGCATGCATACCATATACACATACACAAGCAAAAAACAAAGAATTAAAAGGCTGAAATTCCAGCACTGGGGCAGCAGGATCAAAAGTTCAGGGTCAGCCTGGGTTATATAGTGAGACCCTGTCTCAAAAAATAACCATAAATAGCATAATTTTTTCTTAAGATTTTTTTGTATTAGGAGTAATATGTGTCCAGGGCTTCGTTTGTGTGTGTGTTCACGAGGAATTTGTATACAAATAGTTTGGGAATCTAAAGGTTCTATAATTCCCGAGTAAAAGAAGCATGAACCTCATAGTGAAGAGTGGACTGTTGCTGATCTCACTGTGCACAATCGCGGTCTGACCAAAAATGTTGCTGTTACTACAGTGTATACGGAAATTTGAGTTCTTCTAAACAGACCAAGGAACCCTCGTGACCAGGAAAGATTACATGATTGGATTTAGGCTGAAAGCTGATGTTTTTCATGGAGGTAACTGGAAGACTTTGTCAGCAAGTGCTTTCTGCCATATATCTACTTAAGTACATCAAGTACTTGCTTGGAGTGTGTTTCTGTGTCCTGCTAACTGGTAGCTCAAATACATGTGACTTCCGGTCTGCATACAGTACTACATAACTATCGCTGGAAGTTGACCAGATAAAGCATTGCCTTTTGTAGCAACTAGCTGGGATTTATTGGAATGGGATTGTTTTATGCAATTGTGGTGGAATTTAGCTCAAGAGCAGGCAGCTCTGGATTGAGTAGCTCCCAATCCACCAGCTTCTGTAGGTGAGACTCAGCCTGTGATGTGCTAAATACAATATGGGGTATATAACTTGCTTGTGCATTCCTGTGTGTGTATAAGAACACATTTGGAGGCTAAAGGTCATCCTTATGTGATGTTCCTCAAAATCCCTGGCCACCCACCAGGGATCCTCCTATCTCCATCTCAGATATGGGATATCAGTCTGCTGCCACATCCTTTTTTTATGTAGGTTCTGGGACTCTAATGTGGGTCCTTGTGTTTGATTTGCACAGCAAGCACCTTATGGACTGCATTATTTATACAGTATTCTGCCTGCATGTATGCGTGCAGGACAGACGAGTTCACCAGATTCATTATAGAAGGTTATAAGCCACAGTGTGGTTGCTGGGAATTGAATTCAGGATCTTAGGAAGAACAGCCAGTGCTCTTAACCTCTGGGCCATCTCTCCAGCCCAACTTTTAAACTTTTTATTGTGAGCTGAGCAGTGGTGGCACACGCCTTTAGTCCCAGCACTCAGAAAGCAGAGGCAGGTGGATCTCTGAGTTTGAGGCCAGCCTGGTATAGAGAACGAGTTCCAGGACAGCCAGGACTACACAGAGAGACCCTGTCTCAAAAAAAAAAAAATTTGTGTGTGAGTGTGGGTGCCATGGTGTGCATGTGGAAGTCAGAGGACAACTTTCAGGGGTCAGTTCTCACTGTGTTTCTGGGGACAGAACTGTGGTCATCAGGCTTGTCCTACAAACACTTTCACTTACTTAGCCATCTTGCCAGTCTATAAAATGTTTTAAGTTCATTGGTATAATGTCTTTTGTACATACTGTTCTAAAAAGAAGTGTATTTGCGTGTTTTAGATTGTCTGAGTACATTGCCTCAGCTTTGTAATAGGACCCATGGTCCATTTTAAAACAGATATCCCTGCTTTTTCAGAGACCTTGGGAAATTAAATACCCAATGTACACACAGTTTAGATTAACTTTTTAGCAGTATGGTGTGGCTGAAAGTGCTCTATAAAACAAATATCCCTGTCTACATGTTAGATACTACTATAAGTGAGGTTTACAAAAGGGTTAGAATTCTTAAACCTAGAGTCCCAGTTTCCTGGTTACATAAAATGTGTCTTTAAGGAAATATTTTTAAGAGAAACCCAGTCTTGAAAAAACAAAAAACAAAACAACAACAAACAGTTACATTGATTTAGTTCCAGAAATACATATTCCACAGTTTTGTTTCCGTTGAATTGTTTGTTTTGAGAAGGTAAAGTTGTCGAGTGAGCAGAGGGGGCCTAGAGAGCGCCAGCGGTGGACACCGCTTTCTTAATACTCGGTCATTTCATTGACTGGGACGAGTGTGGGGCAGCTCTGTGTTTGTGTGTTGCACGCGCAGGAGGGCAGAGCCTAGTGGGGGTCCTCCAGTGCCCTGCCCTATCCCTCTCTGCTTTAAGCCCTCAAGATAGGGCTTTTCACTGACCCTGGAGCGAGGCTGGTGGTCAGCAAGCCTTAGTGATCCTCCCACAGCGCTGAGGTAGCAGGTGCTTTGGATGCGGTTCTGGAGATACAAACACAGCTCCTTCTGCTTTCCCAGTCAGCAGGCTCACACACAGAGCCATGTCCTCAGCCTGGCTTAACTTTTTTAAAGCAGATTTTGATGTGTATATACACATGCCTACTTTTCTGTGTGTACTATGTGCATACAGTGCCTGCAGAGGCCAGAAGAGGGCGTTGAATCTCCCGGAACTGGAGTTAATTGTGATGCACTTAGGGTGTGTGCGGGGAACTGAACCTGGGTCTCCTGTAAGACTAGCAAATGCTCTTGACTGCTAAGCTGTTTCTTCAGTTACGAAAGCAGATGTGTGTGTGCGTGTGCGTGCACTCATTTTTGTCACTGTTTGTCATGTATGTGCCTATGGAGGCCAGAGAGGGCATCAGCTCCCCTGGACCTGGAGTTACAGGTAATTATGAGCTGCCTGGCATGGGTGCTCAGAAACTTGGGGCCTTTGGCAGAGCCAAATATACTCTTAACCATTTTCCCCATCTCCCTTAAAGCATACTTTTTTGAGAATAACACTAAATCTTCAGGTTACTTTGTCAGAGGCATCACAGTCCATGCCCAGTTTAACTTGGTTTTTGTTTTTGTTTGTTGGGTTGACTTTTCCAGACAGGGTTTTTCTGTGTAGCCTGTGGCCTGGAACTCACTCTGTAGACCAGGCTGGCCTCAAACTCAGTGGTTTGCCTGCCTCTGCCTCCCGAGTGCTGGGATTAAAGGCAAGTGCCACCATGTCCAGCTTAACTAGGCGCTTTAAACAGAACTAATTCTGAAATGGCTCTCTAGTTGCTAGACTTCAGATAGATTTTTTTTTTCTTCATCTTGTGGCATGCAGTGTAACAAGGCTAAAGCTATGTGTTTGTCCGTATCATATGAAACGACTGTATTACGATCATCATAAAATTTTCAGTCCCCAAACTGGGTGCTTGGAAGTTATTAATTTAAAATAACTATCTGGCAAAGTATCATATATATGTCTTATTTCTATCTGAGTAAGAGTGTGTAAGCATTTTGATGCCCATTCTCATGTATCCACTTTCTTTTGGACTTTTATTTTATAGGGTTAATATCTAATGTAAGACAGAAGAAAAAAATGTCATTCCGAAAAGGTATGCTTGCTCTCTCTCTTCATGTTTCATTGTTTTTATGCCTACCAAAGCCAAAAGATGTAATGCAGGTTTCTCTCTGTTTCAGTAAACATTGTCATCTGGGTCCTGGCTGCTGTTCTCTTCTTACTGGTTTTGCACTATAACTTCCTCAGCTTGAGTAGTTTGCTAAGGAATGAAGTTTCAGGTATGGAAGCCTTTGCTAACACTGTACTGCTGTCTTTTGTTAAGGACGTGGAGGTCTCTGTGCCCCACATCCTAAGTTTTATCATTATGTTAATGAAAAGAAAACTTGCTTCTTGGCTTACAAAGACTGATGTAGCCAGGCACTGGTGGCACACACCTTTAATCCCAGCACTTAGGAGGCAGAGGCAGGTGCATCTCAGCAAGTTTGGCCAGTGTGGTCTACAGAGTGAGTTCCAGCACAGCCCAAGCTATACACAGACATACCCTGTCTGGAAAAACAAAAACAAAAACAAAACAAAACGAAAGACTGTGTGGCAGAACAAAACAAAAGACTGTGAGGCAGTGTAAAGAGAGAGGGCAAAAAGAGACCAGTCTGACCTCAGCAGCTAGGACTGTTTGTCAAACAGGAGAGGACAGACAGTGGGAAAGGGGGTCTGCAAAAAGGAGGAAGGGAATACTTGGAGTTAATATAAGGGGTTTTGGGAATGGGAAGTTGGATGCAATTTCAGGGGCTATGTGGAGGCTCTACCTCCTGGAGTTGATTGTCCAAACAAGTCTGTTTTTATCTTTAGAAGCTGCCTTGCTCAGGCTATCTGGAGAAGGTAGATAATGAGTTTGGCAATGGCAGTAAAGGGGGAAGGGTTACAGCTTCAATGTAGGGACCCAAGAATTCAGCAAGTTCCTTGGTCAGGGTCGGGCGGAGTGCAAAGTGTACTCTGACAAAAGGCATACTGGGTACTCACCAGTTTTATACGTACGGTGCCTTCCACTCCTCTCTGTAGTGGAGTTTTTAGCTAAGGGCTTGATCTGAGGGAATCCTCTCTATCAAGTCAGAGGCCTTAAGGAGTGTCTGTTGGCCCCCATCTGCTTGCATTTTCATCTAGTCAAAGCATTAGAAGATGGGTATAGGCAAATGTGCTAGTATTTGATGTCTGCCTTTGTCACCTCACAATGTCAATGTGGCAACTTTCTTTTATCTTTGCTGTCTTTGATCTTAGCAATCACATCTATAGGACTTTTGTAACAAAACAAATCATAGCCGGGCATGTGACACACACCTGTATCCCCAGTACTCGGGAGGCAAAGACAGGTAGAGGAGCTCTGTGAGTTGGAGGCCAGCATGGTCTACAAAGGGAGTCCAGGCCAGCCAAGGTTACACAGAGAAGCCCTTTCTCAAAAAACAAAACAACAAAAAGCAAATAACATTTTATCAGCTGATCAAAAAATCATTTTATTGTTATTGTGTTGTAGTTATGTAGTTGTTCATCTGATTGTCTTCTGATAATGAGGGTATTGGAGACTCGGTGTTTTTTAGATAGCTTGATGTCTTGAGACTGGGTCTTATGGTTCAGGCAGGCTTCATACTCATTTTACAATTTAGTCTGTCTTTGAATTCCTGATCCTCATGCCTTAGCCTCCATAGTTATGGGATTATAGAGGTGAGCTACAGTGTCCCTGTGTTAAAAAAAAATCATTTTTGAGGCTAGATGTGGTGACACACCCCAAAAAATCCTAGCAATTTGGAAGCTGAGGTAAGGCAAGAGAATCATGAATTTGAGGCCAGTACAGGCTGTAGCACGACGGTGTTGAAAAAATATTCTGTCTCTCTCCCTCCCCTCCCCCTCTACCGGGTAGCAGTGCAGCAGTGTGCATCATTGCACACCACAGCCACTCGTCATATACGCCACATATGTAAAATAAGATCGGGGAAAAGTTCAAGCCACCTCAACGTACTAAGTTGAGGTCAGCCTGAGCTACAGAGAATTCTCTTTCTTAAAAAGGAAATAAAGCCAGCACTTGGAGGCTGAGATGGAATTATTTAGTAAGTATTAATTGAAGAAGTTATTTAATTGACACGAGAAACTACTATAAAAAAATTTAACGACAGCACTCGGGAAGGCAAAGGCAGGCAGATCTCTGAGTTTGAGGCCAACCTGGTCTACATAGCATGTTCCAGGCCAGCCAGGCCTACATAGTAAAGCCCAGTTTCAAATAATAAAACAAAAACCCCAAACAAGAACAAATATTCATGAGTTTGTTTGTGTCCTGGTGTTTTCTTTGTGTGTTCTTTCAGATTCAGGAATTCTGGGGCTTCAGCCTATAGATTTTGTGGCAAATGTTCATCAACATCCAGTAAATGGGAGACAAGAGGAGATCCCTGTGGTTATTGCTGCCTCTGAAGACAGGCTGGGTGGCACCATTGCAGCCGTAAATAGCATTCAACATAACACTCGCTCCAATGTGATTTTTTACCTTGTTACGCTCAACAATACAGCAGACCATCTCCGGTGAGCACTGCTTTCCCAGTGACCTGCCTCTTTCTGCCTGTTGCTCTTCATAGGCCCACTGCTATGCCAGGAACCATGTTACAATAGCTTATGATATTTTCCTGTTTGAAACCCTCCCCGTCCCTGCCCACATTCTTAGGATTTTATTGCTGTAAAGAGACAGCATGACCATGGCAACTCTTTTAAAGGAAAACATTTAATTGGGTGGGGCTGGCTTCCAGTTCAGAGTTTAGTCCATTTTCATTATGGTGGGAAGCAGGCAGCATCCCAAAAGACATGGTGCTGGATAAAGAGTTGAGAGTTCTGTCTCCTGATCTGCAGCAGGAGACTGGGTGGAACTTGAGCATAGGAGACGTCAAGGACCACCCCTCCAGTGACAAGCTTCCTCCAACAAGGCCACACCTCCTAATAGTGCCACTCCCTATGAGCCAAGCATTTATACAGGAGTGTATTAGGGGGCACACCTGTTCAAACTACCACCTCCCCCCATGCATAAATACACAGCACAAATATTTTTCCATATGATTGTGTCATGTCTTTGTGGCAGGAGAAATGATAATTTGTGTCAGGAAGTAAACCAGCTGTTGTCACACTGTAACAGGTCTAATGTTTAACAGCCTGACTTCCTGAGTAAGAGAAGCAATACATTGATTTACTAGTCATAGCTTCGAACAGATACGCATGCACCAAGCACTGGGCTCAGTTCCCACCGTCACAAGAAACTGGGCATGGTGGCTCATTCCTGTCTGCCATCCCAGCATTCAGGAGGGTCAGAGGTTACGACGGCACCCTTGACTACAAAGTGAGTCAAAGGACAGCCTGGGCTGTATGAGACTGCCTTAAGAAAACTAAACACAAAACCTACAGAGCCTGAAGGCATGGCTCAGAGGTCCAATTCCCAGCAACCACATGGTGGCTCACAACCCTCTACAATGAGATCTGGTGCCTCTTCAGGCATGCAGGCACATACGCAGTCAGAATACTATATAAATAATAAGCCTTAAAAAACAAAACAAAAAAACTTCACATTTTATTCTGAAAAGCAGCTTGTCTGACAGATTTTTCAGAGTTCTAAATATTTCTGTCCTTATGGCTTTGTCATTTACACTTATGAAAATTCTCATTCTTAAAAAACTCTTAAAATTCCCTATATCCAAGATATAGAAAAAAAAATACTTCGTGCTTTTGCAGGTAACATGGGCTGTTCTCACAGACAGTGCCTTAGTCAGGTGGGTGAATTTTTTAGATTCATCACAGTAAATAATCATTTTTTAGCTGACAGATTCACTACTAGTTTTATTTTATTGGTAACTAGCTTTTACCACCATTATAATTTGACTTATTTGGAAAGCTAAGAATTCTTTGGTCCATCTGGGCATGGTGATTGTACCCTTGTAATCCCAGCATGTAGATGGCTGAGGGAGAACAGTGAACTCAGGTTACTCTGGGCAATGTATAAGATAGTGCCTCGAGAAAATAAACAAGTAGTCCACATTTGGCTGAGTGTTCTCAAGTCTAGTTTCTATAGTAGATTATGGAGAAGAGAGTCTCCTGTAGATTCTTGGTTCAAAAGGAACTTTGGTGGGACTGCCTTTATCTTAAGTGAGGAACCCCTAGTCTTAGAGAAATAAAGAACTTGAAACATGTTTAGTTCCTGGCATTATGCCACTGTTGGAAAAGCATAGAAAGATAAGGTTATATACTTTAGAAACATGGCTATTTCAAACTGAAATGTGTTTTTATTTCATCAGGTCCTGGCTTAACAGTGATTCCCTGAAAAGCATCAGGTACAAAATTGTAAATTTTGACACAAAACTTCTGGAAGGGAAAGTAAAGGAGGATCCTGACCAGGGGGAGTCCATGAAACCAGTGAGTTCCATGTGTCTTTGTTTCTATTGGGCAGTGTATTTGGTTAGAATATTTGGATAATTCTGGGTACAGTGCAAGTAGTTCCCTAGGGACCAAACCGTGGTGGCTTCAAGAGTCCATTACTATCTTTTACAAGGTTTCTGAGAACATTCTAATGGCTTTTACAAATAAAAACTCAGCTAGTTTATCCTATGCTGATGTTTCTTTCCTTTTTCAGTTAACCTTTGCAAGGTTCTACTTGCCAGTTCTGGTTCCCAGTGCAAAGAAGGCCATATACATGGATGATGATGTCATTGTACAAGGTACCCAAGAATTCTGGGCTATAAGGGTTGTCCTGTGATTGTCTACTCTAAGAGACCACCATTAGAAATGGGAGGAACAGACTCTCAAGACAACTGCAATTGTTCATTTCACTTTATCCATTTCAGGTGATATTCTTGCCTTGTACAACACACCACTGAAGCCAGGGCATGCTGCTGCATTTTCAGAAGATTGTGATTCAGCCTCTACTAAAGTTGTCATTCGTGGAGCAGGGAACCAGGTAAATTACCAACTGCAAACCTTACTCCCTATAAACACTATAAAGTGGCAAACTCAGGACTCCATTTTTCGTTAACCAGTTATTTCACTCCAGATCTCACACCTACTTTTCTAGACTCATCTACAGACTTTGTAACCAAATTCTCCTTAAATGTTCTGTTTACTAAGACAAACTCCAGATCCCAACTTTTTTCTGTGGGACTTTTTGTTGCATTTGCTAATTACTTGGGAAGTTTTCTTAGTTCAACACTGACTTGACTTGCTATAGAAATTTATCTTGAAGCAGAAAATATCTCGTGTTTTTAGTACAATTACATTGGCTATCTTGACTATAAAAAGGAGAGAATTCGTAAGCTTTCTATGAAAGCTAGCACCTGCTCCTTCAATCCTGGAGTTTTTGTTGCAAACTTGACCGAATGGAAAAGACAGAATGTAACCAACCAGCTGGAAAAATGGATGAAACTCAATGTAGAGTAAGTATGTAACTGGCTTAGTTACTAAAAAACAAACAAACACCCCTTCTAAATCTTTAGTTTGAGAAGTTGGTCAGCACTCTTCACTAACATTTTTTCTATTCTCATCAAGAGAGGGACTGTACAGTAGAACGCTGGCGGGCAGCATCACCACGCCTCCTCTGCTTATTGTATTTTATCAACAGCATTCCACCATTGACCCTATGTGGAATGTCCGCCACCTTGGTAAGTATAAAGAATTTACCCAGCTGGGTATGGCGGTTCATCCTGGTAATCCTAGCACTTGGGATCCTAAAGCAGCAGGAGTACCCAGAGTTTTGAGGTTAGCCAGAGGCACCTAGCAGACTGGCCCTGTATCAAAACAAAGTCACCGATTTATGTGAATCCTCCTCAGGGCTGGACTATACTCAGTGGTTCCCTTTAGGGCCCTGCAGCTTAGCATGGCATTGCTTTCTTACTAGTAAAAAAATCATTTGGCACTTTATCTCTGTTAAGGTTCCAGTGCTGGAAAACGGTATTCACCCCAGTTTGTAAAGGCTGCCAAGTTACTTCATTGGAACGGTCACTACAAGCCTTGGGGAAGAACTGCTTCATATGCTGATGTTTGGGAAAAATGGTATATTCCAGACCCAACAGGCAAATTCAGTCTAATCCGAAGACATATGGACACCTCAAATATAAAGTGAACTACAACTTAAGCTAAATGCCATCACTCAGGAAATCCTGGAAGACACAGTATGTGTGAAGTTGTAAGGCTCAAGTCTCTCTGTAGCAACCAGAGGACTACAGATGTCTCCATCTGCCTTACCAAATGTTTGCTTACTATACTGCTGATCTGAAGGACAAACCGATGGAGACACCGTAACTAGTTCATCTAGCAGCTGCTGTAGCTGGGAAGTGCTGTTTTGTTTTAATTTTGTAACCTGTGGCCTGGTTTGTAAAATAAAACTTACATTTTCCAACAGACCAGTTTCTAGAGAACTAATTCTTTTCCTCATATTTAAAACACAAACATTGCTGCTCTTCTAACTCTTTAACACAGCAGGTCACAACTATATTGTAGTTCCAGGGTACCTAATGCTCTGGAGCCTCTACCCCACATTCATTATATATATATATATCATAGTTTTTGACACAGGATTTCTGTCTAATATCTTGGACCTGCCTGTTTTCCCTTCCCAAGTACGGAGATTGAAGATATGCACCATTCACACGAATGTAAATAAATCTTAAGCACAAATTCATTTAAGTGCTTTGTATTTTGTCTTTAATATATAACACATAATACATATTCACAAGATTTATAACTTATGTCATACCAATCTAGAACACTTCTCAGTATAACATCTGTAGAAGTTATACATAATCTGTGCTAAAGTCATAGGCATCATCCTCTTCACTCATTTTATCCGAAGTAAATGATCTGTCAGATGGCTTACCTATATTGGAGAAAAAGAAATTTTACACACATACACAAAAAAATAAAAAAAGCAATTGTGCTCAAACTACTTTATTAGAAGTCCTTTTCCCAGACTCACTTGCTGTTGATTCCCCATTTAACACCTCTCTGTTCTCTTGTACAGGGGCCACATCTGAGATCTCTGCCTGTGAACCAAGAATAGTAGTATGATATTAAAAGCCTATGACATTCCATTAATCCTAAGGTGGTAGGTAGATCAGTCGTGGGGTGGCACTTGTAATTAGAGATTCATAAAATATAAACGGCCTAGTTTTAAATACTAAACTATACAGACTTCTTCCAGTCTCAAAATGTTTTGTTTCTATCTTTGACCCTCTCATTGTTTTGATACTGTATGTAGTGCTAGAAAACTCACTGAAGCTTTAACTCAACTTACGTTCATTTCATCATCAACATTTTCTTGATCATCACCATCCTGTCTGTTTTCTCTTCGTTTTGGCAATTCTTCGGGTATGTCTTTTTCTTCTATTATCCCATTTGTTAGGCCCGAAGACTGGAAAAGGATTCTATTAGTTAAATGTGGGCCCTTGAGAGCTATAACAAAGAAAAAAAATTCATGTTAAAATCTAAGACCTCTAGCATTCTGTTAAAAGAACATCAAAATAACAGGAAAACACGATTTTACCTTGTATGCTGTCTGCATTATTCTTTTCCAGTTCTTCTAGATTAAAGCCCCTCTTCATGTCTGCTGCAGCATTCTCATTAAAATGTGGAGGATTGCAGGATGTAGGGGGATAGCAGTAGTAACCTAATGAGGCACTGGCATTAAAAACAAGATCTGTCAAACACAGGCCAATCCCTTTATTCCAAGCTGTCTTCCAAAACGCCAGCACAAAGACTGACCTACCCTGTCCACTCAGACCATAGCAGCTTAGCAGCACTTTCTACATTTGCGCTTCCACCTTTTTGGTGCAGACCTCTTCTCTGAGCAAGCTTAGTAAAAAAGTCCAGGGAATCCTTATAGCCGGGGACAGTGTACTTTAACACCACCTTAAAAACACAGCACAGTCTGTCACTAATCTGTGCAGATAAAGGACAGTTAAGGAGCTCAAGGGTAATTCTTTACCTGTTGACTATCAGCCTGGGACAGAATAGCACTGGCAGCCTCCAGTGGTCTTAGTACTTCGATACTTGCTGGACTCCGTAGAGCAAGTGCAGTAGAGGAGTTACATGGTGAAATAATAAAGCATGGACTATCTATAACTGTGATCTGCTTATTTAAAGGAACAAGCTGCATGCTCCTGAAAGAAAGCAATGCAATTAATAGGGACATTGGTCCGAGGGCAAGACAAAAAAACAAAAAACAACCACGAAGCTCAGGGTTGGATTGAACAAACTCAGCACAGCAGTCAGATCCAATTTATCATCACTGCTTCATGTTTATATGAAACCCTAAAAACATGAGCCATTCTAAAATAAGCACTGTATGTTTCAGTACCATATAGCCAAACTCAGTCATTTCCCTATTCTTCTAAGATCAGGTCCAAACGCTACTTTCTCTGAGGCAGCTTTCCACCTCAACTGTAGGTAGCTAGGCCTTCCCAATTGATTCTCTTAGCCCAGCACCAGCTGTTTCTTTTGCTGAGGTCTTTCAGTTCCATTTACCTTGTAAGTCCCATGGAAACTCCAACATTGCAAATCTGTTCTTGTTTTAAGCTATTAATGATGCTGCTTTTCCCCACATTTGGGAAACCTACAAATAAATATAAATTCAGATTATAAAGCATATTCCAGTAGTTGCCTTGCCACAGCAGGCAGGTGTTCTTCCACTAAGACGCTTAGATGCCCAAGTATTTTGGTGAGTTGAATCAACGTTTCAGAACAAACCTATTCCCACTTCACAGCATGAAGTCCACAGCTAAGTACTATAGACAACATGGTAGAGTGCTGAATGAAACTCACCAACTACTCCAACCTGAATATCTTTTCTACATGACTGCTGAAAACCTACAAGAAGGTTCCAAAGGGCTTCCTTGCCACAGCAGATTTTACTCTGGAATGGAAGAGCTTTCTTCTTCTTCTTCACCTTTAGACGTTAATAAAAATTAAAATGGAGTAGTTTTAGTAAGTCTGGTAAATATCACCAGGTAGAACCCAAGAAGTCTGGCATCAGAGTCCAGCTCTTAGAAAACCCACTGGCCTCTACTGCCTTTCAGATGATCTTTAGATGAAATCAGAGTTGGATCTTATTGTTTTTCACTCTAATCAACATTCTGTGTACTCATCATATTTCAATCATCAGAAATCTGAAGAAAACCCCATTTCCCACTATTAATAATATAGGGTACCTTGAGTATCTTTGCTCTTCCCTTGATGTTTGTTGAGGCTTTGAACACCACTGTTGGCAGTTCTTTACTCAAATAACTTAGCCAGGTCTCCAAATTCTCCTTTGGTACTAGATCTGATAGGAATTGGGGAAAAAAACATTTCAATTCAGATTTTTTATTTTAAAGTTTATTTACTGCCTTGATGTTCTGCCTGGATGAATGTCTGTGTGAGGGTATTAGACACTAGAGTTACACAGTCGTGAGCTAGGGGAAATTGAACCCAGGTCTTCTGGAAGAGGAGTCTTGTATGAATTTGCACTTCCCCAATCTTTCAAAATTTACTAAGAGAATGTAAACTTCCTATCATGCTGCTCATACCTTGAGACATTAAACCCCTACTTGTCTCCACGGTCTCATATATCCCAGGCTGGAATTAAGAATGACCTTTAACCCCTAAGTAATGGGATCAGAGTCATACTACCTTGCTTGTTTTTATATGGTGCAGGGGAACAAACAGTGTTTTCTGAGTAGCATGCAGGCACTGTACCAACTGAGGTACTTCTGAATCTCAAATCTCTCCAGTATTGCTCACTCAATCTAAGAACTAAGTCAATTTATGTCTTTTTCCCCAGAGTTTACCATATCCTAAGAGGCACCAGTTTTCTAAGCCTAACAGGGATTTTAAGTCACGTTCTTGCATTCTTCTTTCTCTCTACAAAATACCTTCCCATGTCCCTCATATTTGTTGGGGCTTGAACACTACGATTAGCAATTCTTTATTAAAATTTAGCTAGTTCTGCAAATTCTTTGGTACAAATGCTTATTCTACAAGTCTTTTGTGTTCTCTTCCTGCTGCTCAAACCCACCCAGATATAGTCATGTCATTTACATATTTTGTCCCATACAGTATCTTATCCTGTACCAGTTTAGAATTGAACTACTGTGTGGGAGTGTATGTGGCATACTATAATCAGTTTCTAGAGGAAATACAGTGGTCATAGAAACTCTTAAATCAAAAGGGGCTAAATTCTGAATAACTAGCAGAACAGAAAAATCCAGGTGAATAATTACTTGCAGAAACCCCATCCCCAGCTTCTTGGTAACCAGAATACACATGAATTAACTTTGTTGAGGTCAGAGTTGGATCTTATCAGTCTTCAGTGAGAATCAAGACTGTTCAGATATTTTCCTCATACCTCACAAGTACACGAACGACAAAGGGGATCCTTTTTACTCACCTGATTTATTTAACACAAGCACCAACTTTTTATGTCCACTTTGGACAACAGCTTCTTCTACCTGAGGACATCTGCACCCGAGAGGATCTCTGGCATCCAAAACCTCTAACACAACATCTGAGGCTTCAATAACCTGTCAGATAAGAAACTATCACTAGTCCTTGGAGAACACCACCCTCAACTCTAGCCATGAGTGCAAAAGACAAAAATCTCATGTCTTCATTTTACTATGAAGAATGCTGACATGTTCACTATTTTATGCGCAAAAGTCAAATAACTTTTGCCCAGCAGCCTCTGATAAAACATGGGCCTCCAAACTGGAAATAATCCGATTACATCAGAACACATGATCTACCCAAGTGAGACAAGGAAGTTTACTGGGCTTCTTGATCTTGACTTCAACAACTTTTAAGAATTCCCACTTTACAAAGCAGCTGTCAAGAAGGCTTAAGTTTTTAATATCTCATTACCATTTTTGACACTGACCTACACTAAGATACCTTTTTAAGCTCCCGACAATGTAACTTCTTTGGATTCTGCTTGCTTGATTTAGCTTTCTTACTTTGGGGTTCTTCCAATTCCTAAGAGACATAAAATTAGGGGGAAAGATGATAAATTAGGAAAAGCAGATGTTACCTGTATTAACACTTTTCACAGATGACTGCAGGCAATATTTTTAATAGATGAGACTGTCTTTAATACTTTCAAGAGGCTCACTAAATTTTCCCATCACTTTCTCTTCAGAGCTGAAATGAATTTTAGTAAGTTAAACCCTACCTTTTGAGGTTCCACATTAGATTGCTCATCACCAGGGTTATCTTCAAGCTTTCTTTTCCTTTCTTGCTCTTTTTGCCTTTCAAGCTTCTGCTGCTGCTTTAGTTCCTCAAGCTGTGTCAGAGGATGAAAGAAAGGAATGAGCCGGTGACTGGTGGTGTTATGTCACTTTGGAAACCACATACGCTCATACCACATTCTGCTGGAACTGCCAGCCACCAAAATTTACCTGCTGTTTCCTTAGCTCAGCTTCACGGAGAAGAGCCTCTTTAAAGGGAGCACTATTTGGAATTCCTGGATCCTTCTTAGGCTTCCTGTGACCCCGTTTTTTAGCTTCCTTCCTTAATTTTCGATGATGTTCCCGTACCTTTTGAAAACAACACCATGAGAAGGTTCAGAAGGTGGTTTCCTAACATTCATGAGGCCATAGGCTCAACCCTCAGTACTGCACAAACAGGGAAGTCTCACACTACATTTGGAATTTAGGCAATAAGCCAGTCTAGCCACAATTTATAATGCATGTCAGGCACCCTAGGAAAACTGGAACTTCAATTGTTAACTATATGCAGAATTAAAATGTATGCTTAAAACAGAAAATGTGGCACACAAGTTCTTGATTCTTTCCAGACAGGGTTTCTTTGTGTAGCCTTGGTTGTCCTGGACTCGCTTTGTAGACCAGGCTGGCCTTGAACTCAGATTCACAGGCCCTCCAGTGTTGGGATTATAGGTGGGCAACTCAGAAGCTCTTTGTAATGCTTATGTCAGTAAGTAAGTAAGCAACGTTTAGGCTTTCTCTTACTCTTCACTTTTTCACAGCTGCAGCTTGTCTAATTCCTAAATAGAACCTTCTCCATAGTGGATACAAAACAATCATGTTGGCAATCTGTTGGTATAAACCTCTCAGGAACACTTACCTTTTTTTGGATTTTATAACGCTTATGGCAGGTCATTCGCTTACTTGCTTTCTTTAACTCTGCCAAACAAAACAAAAGAATAAGACTGTAGATGTGAGCAGTACACCTAACTTTGTTTTAAATTTCTTGAAATTATGGGTATGGATGTGCCAGCATTTGTTTTGCCTGTTGTTGTAAGCGGACCAAGCACAGGTATGCAGTGCTTTTGCAGAGGAAGCCATAAGAGGGCCTCACATCCCTCTCCCACCCGTTATAGACAGCATGGGCTACCACGTGGATGCTGGGACTGAAACCTGGGGCTCCCAACATGTTTCATTTACTTATTTTGTGTGTAGGTCTTAGAACAATTTCCAGAAGTCAGTTGTCTCCACCATGTGGGTTTGAATTCTTGAAAGTTAGCCTTAGTGGCAAGCTCCTTACGAGGCTAGACCTATTCCTGGCCCTCAAGACACTGTTATATCAAGCCATGGGGCCTGCAAAAATAAGGCTTAACCTGGTTTACATAGATCTTACCCAACTTTCCCTGCAAATTACACGGGTTATTTCATTAAAAGTAAACACATCCCAATCAATTTGATTCGGTTGGCCCAGAGTGCAACCAGATTCTAAAACAGAGCACCACAAAATTAACGAGAGGCAGTTGGTTTCATTTTTTTAAAAATTTGAGGCAGGGTTTCAGTTCACAGTCCAGGCTGTAAATTTTCGATCCTCCTCCATTTATTCCTTAGTGTCCAGGACTACGGGTGCTTCCCATCAAGGCCGACCGACAATGATTTTGAATAGTTCTTACACAAAAGGAACACGCCGGGGCCGAAAATAGGCTCAGACGTTAACCACAGAAATCAGGGCCTAGCTTTCCTCCTACCATAGACCGAAGCTGGGCCTGGGCCTTCCAAGTCTCACGCTTACGCGGATCTGAGCAATGGCCTGCGGGTAATTTTCGGCCTAAAGTCAGGAAGAGGCACCTACCAGGCTCTCTGATTACCAAAGACAGGGCCTCCCTCGCCCACCGCCCGACCCAACTCACTCGGCCTCTTCATCTTGGCCGCGGATGCTTCAGAAGCACAAAAGACCTCAGCGACAACCTGCCTCCTCCGACGCCACGTGCGAACTGGAACCGCAGGCCGCCGTCACGCGCTCAACCTCCTGCCGTAAAGCGTGTGGACGCCAGCCCGCGTGCGCGCGCACGCGCCGTCGCACGCGGTCGGGAGCGCTTGGCGGCGACGGGTTGGGTTTACGGCAGCCCTGGGAGGGGTGAGGGCGGTAAGGGCGGCGGGTGCCGGAGAGACGGCAGCGGCCGCGGCCAGAGGAGCACTAGCAGCCGTGGCGGCCACGGGGCGGGGCGCGGCGGTCGGGGACCGCGGCCGGGGCTGCAGGCGGCGGAGCGGCGGGGTAAGGCCGGGCCCGGGGCGGGCGGGGCCGCTCCCGCTCGGCAGCTGCCGGGCCTTTGTGTCGGCCCGGGC